CATAAGGAGTTCCTGAAATGCAAACTCGCATCCCTAATAAAGATTCCCTGGGCATAAATCTATAGCCGTTTTGCCATAAATACAGCCAACTTCTCAGATACAATTTATGAGCAATATTCTAGATTACTTTCCCCAAATTAAAACACACACAGCCAACCCCTGAGCCAGCAAAACGGAAGCTGCTGGAGGTGATAGGGTTCATTTGTGAATGGAAATTCAGTGTTATCTTAACCTTTTAGTCCACGGTGTTCAACAAATGGAATTTTCTCTCTAAGTCTCTATGTTGGAAGTTTAACTCAATTCTCCAAGATCTTAGGGACTGAAAGGAGATTAAATTACAGCTCAGGGTGCTTTCTTTCTTAAAGCAGCGGTGGGCAAATGGTGTCACTCCAGTTGTTGCTGGACTACAACTCCCATCATCCTGCAGTGTTGATTATGCCCATGACTGGAACACCCCTTAAATCTCATCTGAAACTTTCTTAAGAAGACTAATCTATATAACTAAAAATGTAATGTTCGTCTGTGGGATTAACAGAACTCAAAAACCACTGGACGAATTGACACCAAATTTGGACACAAGACACCTAACAACCCAATGTATGTCCTTCACTCAAAAAAATTGATTTTGTCATTTGGGAGTTGTGGTTGCTGGGATTTATAGTTCACGTACAATGAAAGAGCATTCTGAACCCCACCAATGATGGAATTGAACCAAACTTGGCAAACAGTTCTCCCATGACCAACAGAAAATACTGGAAGGGTTTGGTGGGCAGTGTCCTTTGGTTTTGGAATTGTAGTTCACCTACATCCAGAGATAACTGTGGACTCAAACAATGATGGATCTGGACCAAACTTGGCACGAATTCTCAATATGCCCAAATATGAACACTGGTGGAGTTTGGGGGAAATAAACCTTTGGGAGTTGTAGTTGCTGGGATTTATAGTTCACCTACAATCAAAGAGCATTCTGAACCTCACCAACAATTGAATTGGACCAAACTTCCCACACAGAACCTCCATGATTAACAGAAAATACTGTGTTTTCTGGTGGTCTTTGGTGACCCCTCTGACACCCCCTCGTGACCCCTCCAGGGGTCCCGACCCCCAGGTTGAGAAACACTGCCATAGTGCTTTAACTCTGTAGTGTGATCAGCCTCCTTGTCTCTTTCAATGCATCATCTCATAAAAAAGGATTATATAGCTCTCCATCCGAATGAGACGTTGCCAAAAAAACACCGCATTTGGAAATCTATATTTATACTCTCAGAGCGATGAAACAGTTACAATGGGTGACTAGTGAATAGTGCCATTGCCCAAGCAAGTGTGCAACCCAATGCACCACATGTAATGTCCATACTCATTGCTCAATGCGCACATGCAATGCACCTGAGAAGAGAATACTCATGTTGCCCATCGGACACCAACAAAACTCCAGACGATGGTTGCCTTGCTATCTTATATCTTTGTAAACAACATTTTTCCCTCTTGGAGGGAAACAGGGATGTTATTGCAACCCGACGATCTCTTCCAAAGTTATTAAAAAATACATTTTCTTCCTAATTTCTTTACCCAGCTAGACAATTAAGCCATTGGGAAGGGGAGAGAAGGTAAAGGGGGGGAAAAAAGAAGGAAAATCAATAGCTCAAAACACCAAGTAATGAGGTCCTTAGGGTATCAATCATCCTAGTGGTCAATGTAATAGTGGCATCTCCCATTCGTGACCAAAGTCCAGAAACACTTCCATGTCCTTACATCTGACCCAACACACTGAAATATTGTATTTATAACTTGAGGCACCCAATATTTTCATTTTTCTCTCCAAATTCAGGCAGACAACTCACCCACAAAACAGGGAAGCTTTGGAGATGGCAAAATGAGAGCCTTGTCCTTTGTTGTTGCGAGGCCTCCTGCAGCAAATTTTGCTGTAGTTTTTCAGTCCCAACCAATTCAACATAGTTTGTGGCAGCCATACAAACAAAGTTTCTGGAATATAGCAATGACTTTCAAACTAAGGACTGCACAATTAAACAGAAAATAACACTTTCAAATCAGGAACAGAATGTTTTCAGATTTTGTTATATAGTGTTATTATTTCAGAGGTAATGCCAGGAGCTGGGTTGTAGTTTCTTTCAGGCTATATGACCATGTTCTAGAAGCATTCTCTCCTGACATTTCTCCTGCATCTATGGCATGTATCCTCAGAGGTTGTGAGGACCTCATAACCTCTGAGGATGCTTGCCATAGATGCAGGCAAAATGTCAGGAGAGAATGCTTCTAGAAAATGGTCGTATAGCCCAAAAAACTTACAACAACCCAGTGATTCCAGCCATGAAAGCCTTCAACAATGCAATGCCAGGAACCCCCAGTGATGCAATAGGTTAAACCCTTGTACTGGCAGGGCTGAAGACTGACAGGAGGTTCAAATCCAGGGACAGCACGGATGAGCTCCCTCTGTCAGCTCCAGTTCCCCATGTGAAGACATGAGAGAAGCCTCCCACACAGATGGTAAGACATCCAGGCATCCCCTGGACAACATCCAATTCTCTCACACCAGAAGCGACTTGCAGTTTCTCAAGTCAATCCTGACACAGACACATACATAAAGAAAGAGGCAATGCCCACTTTTTAGCTCCACTCCAACCATTAACCTTCACTCATAATGGACCAAAAACACATAGTTATAGAATGGGAACATAATGGAAAGATGAGTTCATCGTGCAAGGCATGAGATTGTTTACAATGAAGCCTGAAGACAAGAAAGATGGAGATAATCCAAAGTGAAAAGAGGCCAAAACTTGGGAAATAGGCTGTTTTGGATCATCATTCTCGGGATTTGTGGAATATCAGTCCACCAAAAGGATCAGATCCTGTCTGGATCTTGGGAATGCAACAGGAACAGCTTTGGTTAGTACTTGGATGGGAGACTGCCTAGGAATACAATATTTCATAGGAAAGAACGAGCACTTCTTATTCCTCTGAAATTCATGGAGTAGTCATAAGTTGGCCGAGGAGTTGGAGACACATACAAAAACACAGGAAAATATGCTTTCTTACATTTTGGAATTAGGTCCTTACAAGTTTAAAACACCAGGAGCTTTTAGACTGAAGCTCTCAATAAGTTTGAAAAACAAAGTTCCCAAAAAGGGAAAGAGAGCCTGCCTTTTCCATCTGTAGAGGGCGCTCAAGACTCAGCATTGGCTTGAACTACCTGCTGGATTTCCCTTCTTTTCTCTCTCCTTTCTCCTTTTTAAACCAGAAATATATAACATAATCAAAGTAGATCTTGGTTTTCCCTCTATCCCCTAAATCCCTCCTGTTAGCTGCCAGCTTCCAGCCAAATTTTGGCCTGCCTTTCAAAAACAAATGAAAAAAGAAGTGGAGAATATGTTCATTTTGTTTTCTTTCTTTCTTTTTTTCTTCTTTCCTTCTTTTCTCTCTCAAAGATTTGGAGAAAAAAAGAAGGAGGAGGGGAAATGGCATGCATGGATCTATCAAAAGCGGCCTCAAATCAGCCATTCCAAGCCTGAGCTTTCCTGGAAAAATAAAATAAAATAGGAAAATCCAAAGCTCATTGCTTTGCAATCTCAGTTCTAAACATCCATATGCAGGAGCAGCTGAGCTGCTGGACTTGCTGACCGAAAGGTCGGTGGTTTGAATCTGGGGAGTGCAATGAGCTCCCCCTGTTAGCCCCAGTTTCTGCCAACCAAGCAGTTTGAAAACATGCAAGTGTGAGCAGATCAATAGGTACCGATCTGGTGCAAAGGTGCAGTCATGCTGGCCACATGACCTTGGAGGTATCTAGGGACAACGCCGGCTCTTCCGCTTAGAAATGGAGATGAGCACCAACCCCCAGAGTCAGACACAACTAGACTTAATGTCAGGGGAAATCTTTACCTTTTCCTATATGCAGTGAACAACTTTTTTTCTTTTACACAAAAGGAATTGCACACTGTTGCTAATGAAACCACAAAACACAAAATAAACCGAAAGCAAACAGAAATGGTAAAGAAAAATAAGAAAGCACTTGCAAATTAGGATTTATATCAGCAAGACTTTGGATTTGAAGTCAAACATCTTTGAACAGAATTGAGGAAGGTATTCTGAGCTGAGCTTTTATCCATATATTAGATGCACATCAAATAATAATAATAATAATAATTATTATTATTATTATTATTTGAAACACAATTATTATTATTTGATCCAAAACAACACTCTGCTGGCTGTTGTATTGGATCATATGTTGGAACATATGTTGGAAGCGTCTAGGTCTGTGATTATTATTATTATTATTATTATTATTATTATTATTATTATTATTATTATTTGAAACGCAACAAGATGAGTCCACAGCAGACACTCTGCTGGCTGTTGAATTGGATCACACGTCGGACACTTCCCAAGTGTCTAGGACTGTGTGATGTATTGGCGAATAATGCGTGCAGATCCCAGTAAGGTGGCCTTTTGCAGTTGGCAGATGGTAATTTTGTCAGTGCCGATTATGTTTAAGTGCAGGCCAAGGTCTTTAGGCACTGCACCCAGTGTGCCGATCACCACTGAGACCACCTTGACTGGCTTGTGCCGGAGTCTTTGCAGTTCAATCTATTATTATTATTATTATTATTATTATTATTATTATTATTATTATTTGAAACACAACAAGATGAGTCCACAGCAAAGAAGATGACTCTGTTGGCCGTTGTATTGGATCACACATTGGACACTTCCCAAGTATTATTATTATTATTATTATTATTATTATTTAATTGATCTCCTATTCCTGATGGTTTCTCTGTCTTTCATACAAACTGGAATTACCTTCCCACAGCTCTGTTCTTTACTCTGAGCCAGTATTGATTTCCATTCTCGAAAAATACAGGAAATTAAGACATCTAGTCCTGGCAACCTCCAAAAGCATTGGAAAACTTTGCAAACTAGGTTTTTCTTTGCACGACTTTGATGTACGAACATCGCCATGATTCCAGCAGGTCTCAGAAAAATTGTAGTCAAAAAGGGGCAACAGTTTATTAGCCAAAAATATATACTTTCTTGTACAATTTGGTTCACACATATGTACATTTTGTTTTTGTTTTTACTATATATACAAAAAAAGAAAAAAGAAAACCGAAGACGCCTATTTCTCACTGGACTTCCAAAAAAGAATACCTCACGAATTCAGCTAATCCAGATGATAGTACGGAAGCAGGAATTTTTTTCTTGTCTTTTTGCCATTTTTTTTCCCTTTTTTAATACACGGACATGCGTACAAGTTGTAACTATACAGAGGATTTTATTTTACAATCATTAGAACAGTGTTTTTTTCCCTTTATATATATATATTTAAAAATCAACTATGATGATGGCAACGCAGAAAGAACCATAGCTGCATCAAGTTGGTTCTGAGGCCTGGAAAAAGAAGGAGAGAAAAAAACAAGACAGGAGGGAAAACATATAAATAAATATGCATTGAACTATGGGTTGTTTCATATTTTTTCAAAGAGGACTTGGAACAAAACCCTTTGAAAATATTCCTAAGAGTTACCAGCCACAATTACGTTTTTTGTACGGAGCTTTATGGAACTTTAAAGGCTAACATATGAATTGGGGCATAAGTTTTTTGTGGATTTAAGGGTCAGCGCTAGCTGAGAATTTATATGAAAAATGGCTGACACCGTAAATAGAATTGCCTGGAAAGGATCACAGTCGTCTTTGGGATTTTTGCTACAGCAGACACATAGGGCTCTCTCCTCTGCAGTTTTACAGATGGTCAAACACTTATGGACACAATCCATATGTGTAAATAGAAACATTTATATTATACTAGCCATCCCCTGCCACACGTTGCTGTTGCCCAGTCTGAGTATATGTGTTTTGTGTGTGTATATATATATCTAATCCATATATATATACACACACATATATATACACTATATATGTGTATATATATATAATCCAGGGAGCGGGGTGAGCTCCCATCTGTCAGCTCCAGCTTCCCTTGCAGGGACATGAGAGAAGCCTCCCACAGGATGGTAAAACATCCAGGCGTCCTCTGGGCAACATCTTTGCAGACGGCCAATTCTCTCACCCCAGTAGCAACTTGCAGTTTTCCAAGTCACTCCCGACACGAAACAAAATGTCGAAGCAGTAACATGTGTTTGTATATGTTGGATATGTGTGCATATGTCTCCCACAGTATGTGTATATATATATGTGTATATATATGTGTGTGTGTGTGTATTTGTGTGTTTATATGTGCACATGCATATTGTATATATGTGTGTGCTTGTCTATATGCATATTTGTCTGTATATTTGTATGTATGTGGATATGTATATGTGTGTGCATGTGTATATGTATATATGTGTGTATGTATATGTATGAGTGTATATGCGTATATTTGTGTGTGTTTGTGCATATATATGTGTCTGGTTTTTTTGTCGTGTCAGGAGCTACTTGAGAAACTGCAAGTCGCTTCTGGTGTGAGAGAATTGGCCGTCTGCAAGGATGTTGCCCAGGGGACGCCCAGATGATTTGATGTTTTTATCATCCTTGTGGGAGGCTTCTCTCATGTCCCCATATGAGGAGCTGGAGCTGACAGAGGGAGCTCATCCGCCTCTCCCCGGATTCGAACCTGCGACCTGTCGGTCTTCAGTCCTGCCTGCACAGGGGTTTAACTCATTGTGCCACCGGGGGCTCCATATGTGTGTGTGTGTATGAATGTGTGCATGTGCATATGTATATAAGTGTGTGTGTATATATGGTGTATTTGGGGGGTTTTAAGTCTGCTCCACTGGGGTTTTGTGTGTGTGTGTGTGTTTATGGATGATGGACACTCGTTGGACTGTTAGGTGTCTTGTGTCCAAATTTGATGTCAATTGATCCAGTGGTTTCTGAGTTCTGTTAATCCCACAAACTAACATTACATTTTTATTTATATAGATTTATATTATATTATATTTAGATAATTATATGTATAAATAGATAGATAAATAAAGGCCATGCCTTTGGGCTGTTAGACTGCATTATGATCTACACTGACCATATAATGCGGTATTCAAACTGTGTCAAATGTGGTCCTTGTGTGCTTGTCTATAAGCAATATATTCATAGCATAGTCTTTCTATTCATACAGTCCATTGAGTGTATACACACTTAATCCTGTGTTGTATTGAAGCGATGGAGCCCCTGGTGATGCAGTGTGTTAGGCTAAACTGCTGACCGAAAGGTCTGCAGTTTTAATCCAGGGAGCGGGGTGAGCTCCCATCTGTCAGCTTCAGCTTCCCTTGCAGGGACATGAGAAAAGCCTCCCACAGGATGGTAAAACATCCAGGTATTCTCTGGGTAATGTCCTTGCAGACAGCCAATTCTCTCACCCAGTAGCAACTTCAAGTCGCTCCCGACATGAAACAAAATATCGAAGCAATAACATGTGTTTGTATATAATGTATATGTTGGATATGTAAATGTGTGCATATGTCTCCCACAGGATGGAAAAATATCTGGGAGTCCCCTGGGCAACATCCTTGCAGACAGCCGATTCTCTCACACCAGAAGCAACTTGCAGTTTCTCAAGTTGCTCCTGACATAAAAAAAAATCGAAGCAATAACATCTGTGTGCATATAATGTATATATTGGATATGTAAGTGTGTGCATATGTATACACATAAATAAAGCCTCCCACAGGATGGTAAAAGATCCGGGCATCCTTTGGACAACATCCTTGCAGACAGTCAATTCTTTCACAAAAGAAGCAACTTGCAGTTTCGCAAGTCACTGCTGACATAAAAAAAATATTGAAGGAATAACATATGTTTGCATATAATGTATATATTGGATATGTGTTTGCATATGTATACACACAAATAAAGCCCCCCACAGGATGGTAAAACATCTGGGTGTCCTTTGAGACAGCCAATTCTCTCACACCAGAAGCAACTTGCAGTTTCACAAGTCACTCCTGACATGAAAAAAAATCAAAGCAATAACATGTGTATGCACATAATGTATATATTGGATATGTGTGTGTATATGAATACACATAAATAAAGCCTCCAACAGGATGGTAAAACATCCGGGCATCCTATGGGCAACGTCCTTGCAGAAGGCCAATTTTATCACACCCGAAGCAACTTGCAGTTTCCCAAGTCGCTCCTGGCACAAAACAAAATATTGAAGCAATGACATGCATGTGCATATAATGTATATATTGGATATGTAGACGTGTGCATATATACATAAACAAATAAATAAACACATGGCTTATAGATGGTATGACTTTTCATATAGGTGTGTGAAAATAAACATTATAATGTATATATGCCACAGGTATGCAAACCGGGTGGTGTTTACATTGGCCTCTCCATTCTATATTTCTCTCTCATTCCGATAGATACAAAGGCTAGAAGCCACCAGCCTTCAAATATGGTCTATTTTGGAAATATTAAAATGGGTCTGATTGTCAGGGGCACAGATAAAGACATTTCCATTCCACATCAAAAAAATAAAAGATTTCTGCTCATATTAAATGAAAAGCACAAAGTAACACCATTAGGCTTTTTATAACTCCCTTCCAGAGTGAAATAATATACACACGATCCAATGCTTTCAAGATTTGCTTGGAAATCAATTCCAGTGGCTTTCCTTGGCATTTGCTCCCAAATAAGTCTTATGGGGTTTGCAGTCGACATGCTAGCAACAATAATAAATCCCAACGATTTTACGGGCCAAAGACAAGTCCTATCTAAAGCAGACCCATGGAAAGCAATGCATGCGAGTCACATAGATATCAATGGGTCTACTCTACTTAAGGTTAGGTTCATCCTAACAGTGCCTTTCCCCCCACTTTTGTCTATTTTTTAGGATATAGATAAGCTCTTACCGCCTCTGAACTGGTTGGAAAGCTGTCTTTATTAACTTTTTCTCTACTTCCAAGACACTAGGTGGATCTAAAAAAATGAAACAAAGGCAACAAAAGAATCAAAATAAAAATAAAGTCCTTTTTTTATATACCAAGCGCTCACCTTGGGTTTGCTTCTTAGGGGTCAAACCTGGTGTAAGAACGTCATGAAAAAGGAAATAAACAAACTAGAAGGGCCAAGTGAGAAAACTTAGCTATGAGTGGGATCTACTAGCTACCCACTCATAGCTAACTCATGAGTGGGATCTACTTAGCTACCATTTTGGGATCTAGTCAACCTAAGAGTAAGACCCATTGTGACTTGCTTCTGAGCCAACATGCATTACAAAATGATAGACTTTTTGGAGCGACAAAGGTACCGAAATTAGTCTTGAAATCAACTCATAACAACAAACATAACATTCGTCAGATTGGATTAAATGTGTTTTTTGCTAGATGAGGGTTGGGATCGAATGTACAGCAGACTCTCAGTTGGGTTGTTGTAGGTTTTTTTGGGCTATATGGCCATGGTCTAGAAGCATTCTCTCCTGACATTTCGCCTGCATCTATGGCAAGCATCCTCAGTACCTCTGACGATGCTTGCCATAGATGCAGGCGAAACGTCAGGAGAGAATGCCTCTAAACCATGGCCATATAGCCCGAAAAAACCTACAACAACCCAGTGATTCCAGCTATGAAAGCCTTTGACAAGACTCTCAGTTAACCGGAACTCAAGAAACCAGAATTCTCAAGCAACCGGCAAAAATATCAGGTCTATTTCTGATAATCTCAAGCAACCAGAAACTGCATTTATCTGGGTGCCGGTTAACTGAGAGTCTATACTTACCTATCTACAGTTTTGCAGATAGATAGGCACAAAGGACTGACAGCAAGAAAACTTGCAACCTGTGTCTCCCTGGAATTGTAACTTTCCTTTCTCTCGCCTTTTATTTGTCTCAATCCGTCCTTTTTTTCTTTTTTATGTCTTTGTAAAAATTCCACAAGTCATACTTTGGGACACATCTACATCATATAATTAATGGAGTTTGACACCGCTTGAAATGCCGACAGCTCAGTGTGATGGAATCCTGGGATTTGTAGTTTTTCAACACTATTAGCCCTCACTGTCAAAATATTGTGGGTGCAAACTACAACTCCCAGAATTCCATAGCACTGAGCGGTTAAAGCAGTACAAAACTGCATTAATTCTACAGTGTGGATGCCATATTTGACCTCTACAAACACATACATATATAAAATGCACAAACACATACACCACATGCATATCTACACAATGTGATAATATATATGTCTGCATATGTCTGCATGTGTGTGTGTGTACATATAAATATATACCTGTATGTGTAGTCAAAAAGACACACAAGCACTTGTATGTGCTTGTATATGTACATTAAATTCCATAAGTATATAATACAATAATAATAAAACTCTCCCCAAAGGGACACATCTATATGTGCATATAGATGGATGATATAGATATACATATAGATATATTCCCTCTACTTGTATGCATGTGTGCACAACCCATATAATTGCATGCACGTGCACATAGTCTATGTACAGAAATGTATGTGTAGTCGAAAAGACACACAAGCACTTGTATGTGCTTGTATATGTAAATTAAATTCCATATAATATAATATAATAATATAATATAATATAATATTATAATAATACTTTATTTATAACCCGCCCTCTCTCTCCAAAGGGACACATCTATATGTGCATACAGATGGATGATATAGATATACATATAGATATATTTCCTCCATATAACTGCACGCGCACACACATAGTCTATGTTCGGAAATGTGCAAAAGCACACACCTGTAGTACACAAACCCATCAAACAGAGAGAGATGCTACATAGGTATATATACACCAATATACATGTGGGATACCACATGTGCATTTCTATCATCTATCCATGTATATATGTAAATGCAATGTACATGTATTAACATACACTGCCTCCAAATGTCTTGTGTGGATATTCAAAATGCATATACCCTGAACACTTTATAATTCTGGGGTATTATTATTATTATTATTATTATTATTATTATTATTATTTCAATTTTATTTTCCAAAATATCTCCATGTATTATTTAGCAGACTTAATTATTCCTATAGTAAAGAGCACCTCTGAAACCCTTGACCTAAAATTCTATAGTGTCGATTCTGGTTAAATCATGATTGGAACATCATTTCCCTGATACAAATATATTGACTTAGCCTTCACCAAAGCTGCTACTCTTGGGTAATGGGGAGACACTTTTATCTCTACTTGAATTTGTAATGTATATCCATACATATGTGCACATGTGATATACACATGTTTTCAGTCTCTCTCTCTCTTTAAATGTGAGCATGAGAGCAAAATTATATACTTGTGTGTGTATGTATCATATATAGATAACAGATGACACTCTCCAAATTTAAGTACCTATTTGAAAGAACTCAAAGGGCTAGGAAGACAAAATCATAAATGAGGAAATGTCTATAGGAATATATGCGCCGTCCCCTTGCTGTGGCCCAGCCTCTGTATATATGTTTTGTGTGTGTGTATATGTGTGTGCATATATGTGTGTATATGTGGATATATGTGTGCTTGCATTTATATATGTGATTTTGTGATTGAGTTGTAAATATTTTTGGCTTTTTAAGTCTCTTCTGCTGTGTTTTTCACTGTTTTTATGAGTGACTAACCACCCCCTGCCATGCATTGCTGTAGCCCAGTCAGTGCATATGTGTTTTATGTGTGTATATGTGTGTGTGTAGATTTATATATGTGTTTGTGTGTATATATGTGGTTTTGTGCATGTGTTTTTTTTTCTGGCTTTTTAAGTCTCTTCTGCTGTGTTTTTCGATGTTTTTATGAGTGATGGTCACTCGTTGGCTTGAGAAGTGTCTTGTGTCCAAATTTGATATCAATTCGTCCAGTGGGTTTTGAGTTATGTTAATCCCACAAACGAACATTACAATATATATTGCCGCGCCGGGGGGTGTGAGGGGGCACGCGCGCGCATGTGTGCGTGTGTGCCGCGCCGGGGGGGTGAGGGGGCGCGTGCGCGCGTGTGTGTGCATGTGTGTGTGTGCCGCGCCGGAGGGGGGAGAGGGGGCGCGTGCGCGCGTGTGTGTGCATGTGTGTGTGTGCCGCGCCGGAGGGGGGAGAGGGGGCGCGTGCGCGCGCGTGTGTGCCGCGCCGGGGGGGTTGGGGGTGCGCGCGCGTGTGTGCCGCGCCGGGTGGGAGAGGGGGCACGCGTGTGTGTGTGTGTGCCGCGCCGGGGGGGGAGGGGCCGTGCGCGCGCGCGTGTGTGTGCCGCGCCGAGGGGGGGAGGGTGAGGGGCCATGTGTGTGCGCGCGCCAGGGAGTTTGCGCCAGTGCGCATGCTCAGTTGCTTTGCCGTTTATTGTGGTTGTTGTTGTGTGTTTTTGATTTCTGAGTGGATTAGTTTGTACCTTGTTGGTTGCCCTTGGGAGAGTTCTGAAATTTTCACCACCAGAACTTTAGTTTTGTAAGTACTTTAGAACCATTTAGAACCATGGATCGATCAGGCATGTATGTGTGTGTGTGTGTGTGTGTGTGTATTATACACACACACACACACTGTATCCCTGAAAATAAGACAGGGTCTTATATTATTTTTTCTTCCAAAAAGATTCATTATGACCTAGGGCTTATTATTTGTAGTAGGGTTTATATTTTGAGCATCCTCAAAAATCCTGAAAAATCAAGCTTGGGCTTATTTTCAGGGTAGGTCTTATTTTTGGGGAAACAGGGCACACACACACATAACCACATGTATATTGATATGTGTATGTATATGTGTTTCTATATATTCATATAGACACTCCCACATCTATGATTTTGTCTTCCTAGTCCTTTCACTTCTTTCAAATACACAAACACAAATATAAACATTACACATAGAATATATTCCCTTAATCTGAGAATCTACGTTGAAAGTTGCACATGAGACTAGAGAAGCAAAATCATCGATGTGTATGTGTGTGTATATATATAATATATGTGTGTATATCCACAGGCAGTCCCCAAGTTACAAACAGATGCCCAGTGAAACATGCTGAGACAACAGGAAGTGAGTGAAATCTTCCCTTGGAAGGGAAACCCACTCCAGAAAGAGTTATTACAAGGGGGAAAGGGGGTCTCCACTGAAGCTTTATCTCCAATCTTTGTTTCCACAACAAGTAAAACTTTCCAAAATCTAATTCTCACTGGGACAGGAAGTGAGGTGGAATCTTCTGAAGAGGGGCACAGGCAGTGAAAGAAACACCACAGGGGTGTTCATTCTTCCCTGTGTGAGCCAAAGCTATATATATATATATAGAGAGAGAGAGAGAGAGAGAGAGAGAGAGAGAGAGAGAGAGAGGTGGGGTAGAGATAGAGATATGGCTGGAGTTACACTTAAATGTACCTGAAAGCATAGGTAAGTCGAACAGGAGCATTTCTTAAGTGTAACTCCATATATATATAAACAAACCTACAGTGTATGTGTGTGTGTGTGTGTGTGTGTGTGTGTGTGTGTGTGTGTGTGTGTATGTGTATATATATATATATATATATATACACACACACACACACACACACACACACACACATACATACATACACTGTAGGTTTGTTCTTAAGTCGAATATGTATGTAACTCCGAACAGGGATAGTGTAACTCCAGATATAAATATTTGTGCAGAAGTTGGAATTTGTATGGAAGTTGGAACAGGGACATTTCTGAAGTGTAATTTATTATTTCAATTTATTTCAATTACTTATACCCCGCCCTTCTCACCCCCGAGGGGGGAATATATACATATATATATATTCCATATATATGTTATATACATATATATATATATTCCATATATATGTGTGTGTGGGTGTGCATGTGTGGACACACACACACACACACACACACACACATATATATGGAGTTACACTTAAGAAATGTCCCTGTTGGGACTTACCTACAAATTTGACTTAAGAACAAACCTGCAGAATATATCTATATCTATCTATCTATATATCTATATATCTATCTATCTATATCTGGAGTTACATCTATCTATATATCTATATCTATATCTATATCTCTCTCTATATATATATATGGAGTTACACTTAAGAAATCTCCCTGTTGGGACTTACCTACAAATTCGACTTAAGAACAAACCTGCAGAATATATCTCTATCTATCTATCTATCTATCTATCTATCTATCTATCTATCTATCTATATCTGGAGTTACATCTATCTATATATCTATATCTATATATCTCTCTCTCTATATATGGAGTTACATGTAAGAAATGTACCCAATGTGTATATAAGAAGTCACAACAGGGACATTTCTTAGTTAACTCCATATATTTAGAGAGAGAGATAGATATAGATATAGATAAGTGTAACTCCAGATAAGTCGAATTTGTAGGTAAGTCTGGAGAGAGAGAGAGAGAGAGAGAGAGAGAAATTCTGCAGGTTTGTTTTTAAGACAATGTTGTTGGTAAGTCCGAACAGGGACATTTCTTAAGTGTAACTCCAGATATATATGTGTGTATGTACACACACACTTACACATATCTGGAGTGTATATTCTAGATAAAATATGCATTCTGTAGGTTTGTTCTTAAGTCAATTTTGTACCTAAGTCGGAACAGGGACATTTCTTAAGTGTAACTCCATATATACGTGTGTGTGTGTGTGTGTGCATGCGCGTGTGTATACACACACAAACACATCTGGAGTTACACTTAAGATAGGTTCCTGTTCCGACTTACGTACAAGTTCCGACTTGCGTACCAACCTACAGATTAGGTGAGACCTGCCTGTATATGTATTTATCTATGGTGGAGTGTATTCTGTGAATATAATTCTATGTATCCTCTGAATATAATCACCTATTGCATACACTCCCCCAGTGGGAGCATGGACAGGTGAAAGGAGCCAAAGAACGGGGTAGCATGTGAGTGTGTTTATATGTATAGTATAAGTTCCGACTTACGTACATGTTCCGACTTGCGTACAAACCTACAGATTAGGTGAGGACTGCCTGTATATGTATGTATCTATGGTGGAGTGTATTCTGTGAATAGAATTCTATGTATCCTCTGAATATAATCACACAATGGGAGCATGGACAGGTGAAAGGAGCCAAAGAAGGAGTAGCATGTGAGTATAGTATGAGTTCCGACTTACGTACAAGTTATATGTATAGTATGAGTTCCTACTTACGTACAAACCTACAGATTAGGTGAGGACTGCCTTGTATATGTATGTATCTATGGTGGAGTGTGTTCTGTGAATAGAATTCTATGAATTCTATGTATCCAAAGAAGGAGTAGCATGTGAGTATGTTTATATGTATAGTATAAGTTCCGACTTACGTACAAGTTCCGACTTACATACAGAACTACAGATTAGGTGAGGACTGCCTTGTATATGTATGTATCTATGGTGGAGTGTATTCTGTGAATAGAACTCTATGTATCCAAAGAAGGAGTAGCATGTGAGTATGTTTATATGTATATAGTATACCTATGTCATATCTCTGTCTCTGTCCAGTCAGAATGCCCTATCCACCGGTTCGATCCTTTCATGAAGAGGAAGGCTCCCTTTTCTTTTCCCCTTCTTTTCGGGGGTTGGTTCTTTACCTGCCTGCCCTCGTTCTCCTCGTTCTCCTCCTCCTCCGGAGTCCTGCTGCTGTGCTGCTGTGGCTTGCTGCTCGGCGCTCCTCCCCAGGGCGGCCAGTCCCAGCAGCTGCGGCGCGTTCAGCAAAGCCAGCGGGTGGGGATGATGGGAGTGGGAGTGATGATGGGGATGATGGTGGTGGTGCTGGGCGGAGAAGGGTCGCCCGCACCAAGCCGCGGCGTTGGCGAACTTCCCCAAAGGACACGAAGAAGAAGAAGAGGAGGAAGAAGAAGAGGAGACCAGTCTGTGCCCGAGTTGCAAGGCTGTCGGGGAAGCGCTCCTTCCTCCTCCTCCTCCGTTAATTTGGGGAGATTTCCGAGGGTTGTCCGGACTGGTCGCTGTCTCGGCTAAGGACCAGATCTTCGGCTTCGGAGGAGCTGCTGTCGGGGGAGGAGAAAGCTGAGAAACCCCCGAAGGCGATGAAGGAGAAGAAGATGAAGAGGAGGAAGAAGAAGACGACCCCGGTTGGGTTGCTTCCATAGCTTTGAGGAGGAAGCTCTTCCCGTTGTGGTTCTGCAAGTCCTCCCCGTCGGAAGAGGACAACGAAGAGGAGACCTCCGATCCTGGGCTTTTGCTGGACCCCAAGTGAAGCCTGACTTCCTCCTCCTCCTCTTCCTCCTCCTCCTCTCCCAAAAGCAAAGGTCCCGCTTTGGCGCTCTCCCCGTCGATGTTCTCCAAGTCGATTTCCTCCTCTTCCTCCTCCTCTTCTTCCTCCTCCTCTTCCTCCTCGTCGGTGCGGCTCCTCGGGGCCCAGGTCATCTTGTTCTCCTTCTTGAGCCTCCTCCGGGCGTTGGCGAACCACGTGGAGACCTGGGTGAGGGTCATCTTGGTGATGATGGCCAGCATGATCTTCTCGCCCTTGGTCGGGTAAGGGTTCTTGCGGTGCTCGCCCAGCCAGGCCTTCAGCGTGGCCGTGCTCTCCCGGGTGGCGTTCTTGGGCCGAGACGGGTCCCCGAACTGGAACTGGCCGTAAGGGAAGAAGGCCGCCCCCGCCGCCGCCCCCGCGTGCGAGAAGGACGCCGAAGGCACCCCGGGACTCTCCTTCAGCTCGTACGGAGCGCCCTGCCAGGCGGGACAAGAGACAAGAAGAAGAAGGAGCGCGCCGTCAAAGGGGAACGAAAGCAAGCAAGAAAGGCCGGGCCCAGACCAAGGCAGGCAGGGCACACTCTTGTTCTTTCCTTCCTTCTCTGCCTTTCCCTTTCTCTTCTCCTTTCCTTCTTTCCTTCTCTCTCTCTCTCCTTCCTTCCCCGTCTTTCCTTTTTTCCTTCTCTTTCTTTCCTTCCTTCTTTCCTTCTCTCCTTCCTTTCTTTCTCTCTTTCCTTCCTTCCCTCTTTCCCTTTTTCCCCTTTCTCTTTCCTTTCCTTCCTTCTCTTCTCTCTCTCTCTCTCTTTTCCTTCCTTCCCCTCTTTCCTTCCCCCCCTTTCTCTTCCTTTCCTTCTCCTTCTCCTCTCTTTCCTTCCTTCTCCTCTTTCTCTCTTTCTCTCCTCCTTTCCTTCTCTCTCTCTTCTAGCTTTTATCTCCCTCTCTTTCTTTCCCTCCTTCTCTACCTTTCCCTTTCTCTCCTCCTTCCCTTCTTTCCTTCTCTCTCTCCCGCTTTCCTTCCTTCCCCGTCTTTCCTTTCCCCCCTTTCTCTTTCCTCCTTTCCTTCTATCCTTCTCTCTCCAGCTTCTCTCTCTCTCTCCTTCCTTCCCCGTCTTTCCTTTTTTCCTTTCTCTTTCCTCCTTTCCTTCTCTCTCTAACTTTTCTCTCTCTTTCTTCCTTTCCTTTCCTGTCTTTCCTTTCTCTCCTTTCCTTTTTCCTTCTCTCTCTCTCTCTCTTCTAGCTTTTCTCTTTCTTTCCTTCCTTCTCTGTCTTTCCCTTTCTCTTTCTCTCCTCCATTCCTTCTCTCTTTCTAATTTCTCTCTCTCTCTTTCCCTCCTTCCCCGTCTTTCTTTTTTTCGTTCCTTCCTCTTTTCCTTCTTTCCTTCTCTCTCTCTGGCTTCTCTCTCTCTCTTTCCTTTTTTCCCCGACTTTCCTTTTTTCCTTTCTCTTTCCTCCTTTCCTCTCTCTCCTATAGCTTTTCTTTCTCTATCTCTCTTTCCTTCCTACCCCGTCTTTCCTTTCTTCTTTCTCTTTCTCTCCTCCTTTCCTTCTCTCTCTCTAGCTTTTCTTTCTCTCCCTATTTTCTTTCTTTCCCGTTTTTCCCTTCTCTTTCTCTCCTCCTTTCCTTCTCTCTCTCTCTTTCCTTCCACGCTTTTCCTTTTTCCTTTCTCTCTCCACCTTTCCTTCTCTCTCTCAAGCTTTTTTCTTTTCCTTCCTTCTGACTTTCCTTTCTCTTTCTCTCCCCCTCCTCCTCTCTTTCTCTCTCTCTCCAGCTGTCTTTTCTTTCTCTCTCTTTCCTTTTTTCTGTCTTTCCTTTTTTTCTTTCTCTTCCTCTCCTCCTTTCCTCCTTTCTTTCTCTCTAGCTTTTCTTTCTTTCTTTATTTTTCCTTCCTTCTCTGACTTTTCTTTCTTTTTCTCTCCTCCTCTCCCTTTTTTCTCACTAGTTGTCTTTTCTCTCTCTCCTTCCATTTGTCTTTCCTTTTTCTTTCTCTTCCTTACCTCTTTTCCTTCTCTCTCAATCTTCCTCTCCTCTCCTTTGCTCTTTGGTTACATTCTTCCTTCTCTCCTTCCTTCCTTCCTTCCTTCCTTCCTTCCTTCCTTCCTTCCTTCCTTCCTTCCTTCCTTCCTTCCTTCCTTCCCTCCCCTTCCTTTCCTTCCCCGTCCTTCCTGTCCCTCCCTTCTTCTCCCTCTTCCTTCCTTCGTCCTTCCTTCCTTCCCTCCTTCCTCCTTCCTTCCTTCCTTCCTTCCTTCCTTCCTTCCTTCCTTCCTTCCTTCCTTCCTTCCTTCCTTCCTTCCTTCCTTTCTTCTCCATGTTTCCTTTTTTCTTTTTCTTTCTTTCTTTCCTTCTCTCTCCAGCTCTCTTTTATTTCTTTTCTCTCTCTCCTTTCTCTTTCTCTTTCTCTCTCCTCTCTCACTAATCTTTCTTTCTCTTTCATTCTCTCTCTGTTCTCCCTTCTTTCTTCCTCTCTTTCCTTCTTCTTTCCTTTTTTTCCATTCTTGCTTTCTTTCACACTATTCGGTTTGTCACCTCTCAATGCTATGGAATCATGAAAGTTAGAGAGTGACAAGATCTTGAGCCTCATCTGCTCAAGAGGGCTGAGGCCTTGCCAAACTACAGCTCCCATAGGATCCCATATATAGCACTGAGCTCATAGCATTGAACATTAATTTTCTGCTAGTTTAGATGCTCTCTGAGAGAAATCTCACTAAAGTGGTCATCTTTTCACCTTCTGGAACAGAGCTCTCAAAACAGCCTTAGTGCCCTTAATTTGCAAACAGTTTCATCATTAAGATCTTATTAGTTTGCAACTGTTTGCAAATGCCTCCCATTAAAAAAAAACATCAATCCCAGGCTTACAAACCTGTGTATCCCTTTGAAAGTAACTTCAGTCTGGGTTCAGATATTTTGTCTCTATGTTTTAGATCTATTTTAGATCTATATTTCCTTATAAGCAGATAGATAAGTCAGACAAACAGAACATCTTTCTTCCCAATTCTCCTAATTTAGATACTGCATGTATGTATATGTATACATATACCCATACACATATATACATATAATATCTAAATACTACATTAGATACTATATGTATATATGTATACACACACACACACATATATATTATTCAGATACTATAAGCATACTCACACACATATATACACATATACATACACATACACACATATACATATAGTATCTAAATACTATATATAGTATCTAGATACTATATGTATATATGTGTATACACACACACATATATATGTACGCACACACGCATATATATATATATATTAGATACTATATGTATACTCACACACATATATACAGATACATACCCATACACACATATACACATAGTATCTAAATACTATATATATATATATATATATATATAGAGAGAGAGAGAGAGAGAGAGAGTATTTAGATACTATATGTATATATGTATATACACACACATATATATACACATATACATACCCATACACACATATGCATATAGTATATGTATATATATGTGTGTATGTATATGTATATATGTGTGTGTACAAATATATGCTATATGTATATATACTATAAATACACACACACACATACATATACATACCCATACATACATATGCATATAGTATATGTATATATATATATGTGTGTGTATGTATATGTATATATGTGTGCATATACATATATGCTATATGTATATATACTATATATACACACATATATACATATACACACCTATACACACAAAAGAATCCAGATACTATATGTATACACACACACATATCTATCTCAGGCTATATGTATGTGTATAATCTCTCTCTCTCTACACATACACACACACACACACACATGGATATGTATGTATGTATATGTCTTTGTGCATGTCTATATATATCTGGAGAGAGAGAGAGAGATTGTACAGAATCATATACTCTGAAAAGAGCCATGTCTCTGTTCAAACAGAATTAAAATGGGCCTGTGGTCCTAATGCCCAATTACACACTCCTGGGAAGGGAGTAACAATCCTATCCTATTTCTTTCCTTTGAGATGATTGGAAAGGAAACTACAGCTCACTTCAGTGTTTCCAGTCAGCCGGTAAACCCCTTTGCAAGAGTGAAAAACTTATCCCTTTCTCTGCCTCCCTCCCTTTGCTCCTTTGGCTTGGACTTTTTAGATACACACATATACAAACACTTTCTGGTTCTTCTGGTGGGGGAAAGGACCTGTCAATCATCCGCTCACCCAGGCAAACAATGGCACCCACTCTCTTTGCTTCCTGCAAGTTTCAGAAGAGTTTCAAGGGAGGGATTTGGGTTTGCTTTTGGGGAAAGGGCCTTTCACCTCTCCCCCCCTCTCCCTTGACTTTATTTACTCCTTTAAAACACATCCAGGCCTTTGGAGACTGTTTGAAAACTCCTTGAAAACTATTTAAACTGTGTTGAAAAGAAAGCAAGAGTCAGGATCACTACTTTATCTTTGCAACTCTCTCCTTAAAAGCAGAGGAGGAAACACACACTTTCAGCCTCTGCACCAGACCTTTGGGATCCTGGGATTGTTGATGCTGGCCAAGGCTACTCTTGAGAATAACAAACACTAATTATTACCATTATTAATAAGGATATATATATGTATATGTTTGTATATGTTCCTGGTGGTGGAAAGAGGCTCAGGGTGGTTTGCTTCACCCTTTCTTTCTCTCTCTTTCTCTTTAGGAGTCCCTTTAAGAGTATTATGTTATATATTATATTATATTATATTATATTATATTATATTAT